AGAAATAAGAGAGAGAAGAGAGGGAGAGAGAGAGAGAGAGGAGAGAAAGAGGGAAGGATGAGAAAGAGATAGAGAAGCGGGAGGAGAGAAGGAAGAAAGAGAGAAAGAAAGAAAAATAATACGATATAGAATACAAGAGACAGAGAAGGCGAAGGAAAAATATTTAGACAAGGGCGAGGAAAGAACGAGGATACAATGAGAAATAGGGAAAAATAGAAGAGAGACAGAGAAAAGGGAAATGTGTGTCAAATGAAAGAGAAAAGGAGAAATATAGAAGAGAGATAAAATGAGCGTCGAAGAAAAAGAGAGAAGAATAAAAGAATGGGGAAAAAAAGAGTTTTAATGAGTAAAACACACACACACACACACACACACACACACACACACACACACACACACACACACACGAGGCAATGAGCGTAACTTGGTCACTTTAGAACGTTGAAGGCCACGACGTCCAAGCCTTTGATGTATTATTGAGTTAGTGAATGTAGAGTGAGAGAGAGAGAGAGAGAGAGAGAGAGAAGGGGAAGATATTGAGAGAGAGGAATGAGAGAGGGAGAGAGAAGGGGGAGATAAAGAGAGAGAGAGTGACAGAGAGACAAAATAAAAGTAGCTAGATAGACAGGGAGACAGGAGAGAGAGAGAGAGAGAGAGAGAGAGAGAGAGAGAGAGAGAAGATAGGGAGAGAGGAATGAGAGAGGGAGAGAGAAGGCGGAGAGAGAGAGAGAGAGAGAGAGAGAGGAGAGAGACAAAGAAGCTAGGATAGACAGGAGACAGGAGAAAGAGATAGGGGAGTGAAAAGAGAGAGAGAGAGAGAGAGAGAGAGAGAGAGAGAGAGAGAGAGAGAGAGAGAGAGAGAGAGAGAGAGAGAGAGAGAGAGAGAGAGATTAAAGTTCAATTACCTGACTACAGGAAACGAAAAACATTTAATCACTCGCTTCAACTCTCAACCTAAAATGCAACGTCCACCAGTACTGTTTGTGTCAAGTTATTCAGTTTGTATTACTTTACACGAGAGCATATTAGTGTTATAAGTGTCCTCATTAATTATATTACAAATGACTTATCGTAGCAAAACAAGTTAGAGTACTGTGATTTGGTCTACAGCTTGTACCATTTTATTTCCATTTAATTTCCGCCTGTTTTGATTTAACTGATGGATGTTGTTTTTGCCGGGTGTTGTACCCAGATTGTGAGAATGGGAAGTGGAAATTTGAAAAAGAGGAATGGATAATTAAGAGGTGGATGACAGGAAGGAGAAGTGTAGACAAGCGAGGTGGAAGGATGGGGTGAAGGACAAGCTAGTAGTGAGGGAAGATGGAAGGAGGGGGAGGGGGGATATCCAGAAGGCAGCAGTGTGCGTGAATGAGTGGATACCATGACGCCGGGTGATATTGATGGGTGATGCTGGTTTGTGTGAAGCGACAGCGGTAAACCAGATAAAGTGAGGCTTTGTTTTGGAAGGGGAGCAGCATAGAAGAGAACATCTATCGCAGCTGTAAGAACACATCTATCGCAGCTGTAAGAACACATCTATCACAGCTGTAAGAACACATCTATCACAGCTGTAAGAACACATCTATCGCAGCTGTAAGAACACATCTATCGCAGCTGTAAGAACACATCTATCACAGCTGTAAGAACACATCTATCGCAGCTGTAAGAACACATCTATCACAGCTGTAAGAACACATCTATCGCAGCTGTAAGAACACATCTATCGCAGCTGTAAGAACACATCTATCGCAGCTGTAAGAACACATCTATCGCAGCTGTAAGAACACATCTATCGCAGCTGTAAGAACACATCTATCACAGTTATAAAAATTAATGAATAACAGCGATTGGGAGAAGCGTCCGTGTTAGCTTGACAATGGCATACGTTACTTAGGACACACATACGTACAGCCCAGCGAGATACTGTGACTCTGGCTCTTGGTTCGTTCCTTGGTTAACCCACGAGTTACCCATCATTATCACAGCAGCTGATTGCCTTCATACTACAGCTCTGAATGCACTTCTCTTCATGACTGTTGAGACGTTTTATACTGCTGAGCTACTGTTGTTGTTGTTGTTTTGTGTGTGTGTGTGTGTGTGTGTGTGTGTGTACTCTCTCATACACACACTCTTCTCAATTACATTCCTCACTACAGCATCCCCACTCACTCACCCACTTTCGTTCCAACCAATTTTCCGTGTGGATCTCCTCACGTCAAATTCCGGCTGCTCCACTTACCATTTTCTCCACCACCCTCCATCACTATCACCACTATCACCCTCCACCACCTTCTACGACCAACACCCTCCATCACCACCGCTATCATCGTCACCATCCTCCACGACCTCTATCACCCTCCACAACCACCACCACCACCATCATCACCACCATATTCCACCACCATAGTCCTTCACCACCACTATCACCCTCCACCACCACCATCATCGCCACCATTTTCCACCACCATCGCCCTTCACCACCGTTACCCATCACCACCACCACCACTATCCTCTACCACCATCACCACGTCATGCGCAAGGAAAAACAGGAAAAATGTTGAAAATTTATTGTTGTTTTTCCAAGACAAAGTGAGGGTCCCCGAGGCTTCGTTTTACATGGTGTCCAGGAAAAACAGGGAAAATGGTGCAAACTAAATATCACCTTTCATAGGACAAGAGTGAGACCTATTGTTAATCAGGACAAAGTGACATTCAATAATGCTATATCTACTTTCATTAAAATTACCTTGTTGGAAGCTCCTCAAAAATTAGGAAAATAGAGAGTGATATTCAACAATTTTACGATGACATGCACTAAATATTATATTGTTAGACTTGATTTTTTTTCTGCTTTGTTTATATCTCAAGAGTGAAAAATATTGTTAATATTATTGGAAAGAGAGACAGTCTGTAAAGGTACATCTATGTCCTTGGAGAGTCAAGGGAAATGAGGCATCTCGCTAATTTCCATTTTGTTTATTGGACACTATGATTTTTTTCCCATATTGCAAGTAAAACATTTCATAAAAGAGTCATTTTGTTTTCATTATTTCCTATCCTAAACAGGTTGAAAGAGAAGCAGGAAAATACAGGCAAAATTTTTTATTATTTTTTCCGAGGACAAATTCGTAACTTTAATAATATTTGCACGACGGAGTTGACAAGAAGGAAGTGAGAATTTATTATTATTATTTGTAGTAGTAGTAGTAGTAGTAATAGTAGTAGTAGTAGTAGTAGTAGTAGTAGTAGTAGTAGTAGTAGTAGTAGTAGTAGTGGACCAAGTCATGTAAGAGACGTGTAAAAGTTAAGCTAGAGTGAAGATTAATTAGAACTTAAAATAAGAAAAATTATTTGTTTTTGATGATGCGGCATTGAGCTCTCTAAACACCACTTACTCTCCTCCTCCAGTCTTCCCATCCTCACCCATAATTTCCAATTATTTATTTTTGTGATCCATTTATTGCTTCCCTCACCCTCTCTCCACACTCATCCCCACTCTTCCTCCTCCCTCCACTTCTTCCCCACATCCATCCGTTCCCTAACTTCCCTTCTCCCTCCTCTTCCTCTCCCCACTTCCCCTCTACATCTCCACCCACTCCCCACCCCACTTTTTTCCTTCTCCTCACACAACGCTCTCCACACCCACCTCCATTCCTTATTTTTCTTCCCATCTCCCCACCTCCTCCCTACACACCATCTCCCACCTCCCCCTTCCTTCTCCCCTACATCCACATACTCCCCACCTTCCTCCTCCCTGAGCTCACTCACTCGCCACCCTTCCACTTCCTACTCCCCCATCCAAACGTACCCATTCCCCAACCCTCCCTCCCTCCTCCTTCCCACACCTACCTACTCCCCATTCACACTTTCCCCTCCTCCCCACACCCGTCCTCTCGACCCTCTGGCAGCTGTCAAGAGATTCACAGGACAACATCAGTCATAACGAGTGACCAGCGATGTATCTCTCTCAATAAGGAGACCAAACTTAAGGCTCACTCTTGTCGTACAACTTTACACGTTAGTTATTATATTGATGTTTATGATCTTACGTCGACAGGGATGGCCTTTGTTGGCAGGAAAGTTAGTTGTTGGTAGGGAGGGAAGTTGTTGGCAAGGAAGGTAATTTTTTATGGCAGGGGGCAACTGTAGACAGGAAGGGTAATTGTTGGTAGCAGGGAGGTGTAGCTGTATGTGGCAGGGAGGTGTAGCTGTATGTGGCAGGGAGGTGTAGCTGTTGGTAGCAGGGAGGTGTAGCTGTTGGTAGCAGGGAGGTGTAGCTGTTGGTGTATGATGTAGCTTGCATGTGCAGGGAGGTAGCTATGTTGGCAGGGAGGTGAAATACAGCAGGAGGTAGCTTGTTGGCAGGGAGGTGTGAGGCCATGCAGAGGTGGTTGTTGGTAGGGAGGTGTTACACAGGATGGATAATGTTGGGTAGCAGGGAGGTGTAGCTGTTGGTACAGGAGGTGAATGTTGATAGTAGAGGTGTAGCTGTTATGTGAGTAGCTGTTGGTGGCAGGGAGGTGTAGCTGTTGGTAGCAGGGAGGTGTAGCTGTTGGTGGCAGGGAGGTGTAGCTGTTGGTGGCAGGGAGAGCAGCTGGTGGTGCCAAAAATAATAACTGCTAACTGTGGTGGCAGGCTGGACAACCGTTGGCCGAGTTGCAGGAAGAAGAGAGAGCCGTCTGACAACAGTAAATTAATGTAGGAGGATACCTGTATTATTGCTATCAGAGCCAGGGAGACAAAATCTGACTCTGACACCATTTCTGACACCATGAACTCTGTGTTACCAAGCTGGAGAATTCTGACACCATAATTCTTGTGTTGACAGGTTGGACGAGCGTTGTCAGAGATCCGACACCATTAACCTTGTGTTGGCAGGTTTAATAAGCGATGATAGGAATAAAAATCAAGCCTGACACCACTAACTCTTTGTTTACAGATTAGACGAATGGTGGTAGAAATAAACAGTCCTTCTGACAACCTTAATCTTATGTTGGCAGGTTGGACGAGCGGTGGCTGGGTCGTGGGAAGGAGAGGCATTGGTCAGAAGAGCAGCAGCTGGGCAGGAGGGCGGTACTGCAGCTGACCTCGTCCCCAGCGGTGCTTCAGGTGTCCTCCCTCACCAGGGCTGACCAGGGCCTCTACACCTGCCGAGTTGACTTCATGTACCACCCTACCAAGACTACCAGAGTCAACCTCACTGTTGTTGGTGAGTTGACTCTCTCTCTCTCTCTCTCTCTCTCTCTCGCACACACACATACACACACACACCTCAATGTTAATACAGAAAAGTGAAAGTTGTCGTCTTCAGGGGGGAAAAACGCAGCTTCAACGACCTGTATCTTACTTTGGTGGGAAAACTTTCACTCTTAGAAAGCGTTGAAGAAAGTGTGGCGAGGTGCTTTCATTCCCAGAGTTTGAGAGCTGGAGAGCGAGAGACAGGGAGAGAGAGAGAGAGAGAGAGGGGGGGAGAGAGAGAAGTTTGTGTGTGCTTTTTATAAAAATTCATCTATCTATTTAATTATCTCTCTCTCTCTCTTCATAGAGAGACTGATGTTGATTGGTTGTATTCAGTATAAGAGTGATGCTGCTACTAATAGGCTTCAATTTAATAAGATTTGCAAGGTTTTCATTGGTTGAAGAATATTAATTGATATTCAACGTGTGTGTGTGTGTTCGTGTGCGTGTGCGTGTGTGTGTGGGGCCAGACTCTTGAGACTAGCAGAAATCAGTTTTTCTCCCTCGCGTGTTGGAAGTGAACTCCAACAGCAGCTACACGCGTTCATTTCCTCTTGCAAGACAAACAATTCTCTCCCTCACCTCTCCTCAATCCCCCCCACCTCCCCCTCCTCACCCTCCTCCCACGCACACAAAACAAGAAGGAAATTCAAGAACACATTTTCAAGTTTGTTTATTTGTTTATTTCATTGTTTGTTTGTATGTTTGTTTGTTCTTATCACTTTGTTATGAATCTCACCAAAGTTATTTATGAAAAGTCTTACGTAATGTCTTATATATTTTCTCTCGTTTTTAGTGAATAATTTCCTTCGTGTCATTTATACCAATTATAACCGTAAGTTTTTGTTTGTGTTTTTTTTTACTTATCTTCAAATTCTAACTCAATATGTACGTCTGAATATGTCTTGTTAACTTTTTTATATGGATAATTGTAGTTTAGTTTAGTTATTGGTGATTTATATTACAGGATTTCAACCCCAGTTATGTTGTTTTCTTCTGTTCTAGCACATTGGTATTCAGTCTCTCTCAGTAATCACTACTACCACCACTAACATCCACTCCTAAGCCCCTCACCACTATCATTACTACCACCACCACCACCATTACCAGCATCACCAGCACTACCACTATCACCAGTTCCATCACTATGTTCACTACCACCACCATCATCATTACCATTTACCCCCCCACTCACACCACCTCCACCACTATCATCAGTACTACCACCATCTCTATCACCACCACTACTAACCACAACTACCCCTCCCCCTACAGTACCCCCGAAGCGCGTGAGTGTGGTGATGGGAGGACACAAGACCGCCCCCCGCAGCAGGTCGAGCAGTGTGGTGGGTCCTTACCTGGAGGGCGACACACCCAAGCTCACCTGTGTTGCTTATGGAGGTACGTAGACACTGACAGACACACGAAGACACCAGCGGGGAGTGAGAGACAGTCACAGGTAGAAGTTAACAAGGAGTGGAAGCTAAGTTTAATTTAACAACTTTATTGACAAGATTAAAGTACAGTTTTGTTGTCGTTATACACAGTTACCCGGACAGAGGTTCATACACAGGAGGAGATAATCAAAATGGTCACACTCATTAGCATCATGTTAGTAGTTACGTAACTGTTGGTATAATAGACCTGGAGGTGTGAATCATCTGAGTCACATTTCATATAATGTTGAAGAGTTTGTTTTAAAGGTTTATCACAAAGTTTACATGCTGGGTGTTCCTGTATGGGTTCAGCATCACTGTCAGATGTGCCTGCATCCTAGCCTGATCCTAACTACGACTACATCACATTTTCCCTATTCAAAATTGTGAAGTGTAGATTGTGAAGTGTAGGGTACCCCTACGGGGAATCACGACTGTAGGCAATAACACTGTTGGTGTAGTGCATATTCTAGATCGCTCAAACCATGGGCCTTGCTCCAGGACTGCCAACATATGAAAAGGGGCAATGTTTTCAACTATTTTTATGCTTAAATTCTACATAAGAAGAACTAAATGTCATCCTAACATATCACTAAAATCTTTAAAGTCACCAGGTAATGCTTCAGAAGAGGTGTGCGGGATAGCGAGCACATTAGGAAACTTTTCAACAGATGAAAACTTCTTCCTTTTCTCAAAAACGTCTCAAAAATTGTGGAGGAATCAATATTTACAAATCCTAATATAACCCAAAAAAAGATTCTAAGGAACCAAACCTAATGATCCTCATATATCACAATACATGACTTTTTCAGCCTAACTTAATATCCCGGCTACGTAGCCTCCAGTCTGCCCAGCCGGGAATTTCCGGCTAAGTAGCCATTTCCATTTCAATTAACTGGTGCAGACTATCCATCCTTGGGTGAATAAGATCAATTTTGGTTAATCATTCTGGAATTATGGAAGCTGACAACCTCAACACATTGCCCGGTATACGAGAATAATGCTAACCCATTTCGACTTGTATCCAAAACTTGCAAGGTACAGTACTTTTAGAGTTTTAGAATATCACACCTCAATTTTCTTTATGGTTGTCAGTAGTTAGGTTAGGTATCATAAGAGAAAAGTGGATAGCTAGATAGATAGATAGATAGATAGATAGATAGATAGATAGATAGATAGATAGAGAAGTGAATAAGAATTAGGTATCAGCTAATTGATATTGTGGTAATAATTTTGTTTTCTGCATTTTACGTCTCACACCTCATTTATCACTCCCTCAATCCATCAACCTCTCACTCAGTTTCGTCTAAGTGCCGCCGTGTTCTATCTATCAACTTCCTTCACCGCCCTCCCTTATTAATTTTCTCTGGTGCATTTTTCTACGTGGGAGTCGGGAAGAGTATTGACAGCTTTACTTAAGGTATACTAAGGGTTTTTATTATTATTATTATTATTATCCTCCCATGTACAGTATGTATTGTATTGTACGTCGTTCTGTCCGTGTGTTTGTGTGTGTGTGTGTAATAATAAATAATATTAATAATAATAATAATTAACGGTTTATTGAAAGAGCATGGCAGCCGGAAGGCTGAAAATATACAGTTACATAATTGGGAAATGGGTCTCTTGATTTACAAATAATATACAAGTAACATAAGTGATACAAATATGATATATAATAACTAGGTGGGGAGAAGCTCAAACTACAGGGCATTTCAACATAGTGACAGTGCAAAAAGTAAGATTGACTGGGAGTGAATACACTGGTTGATTACAAGTTATTGATAATTTTTGCAATGGTTGGGACTGGGCTGTTCTTATAGCGATCAGTTTGTGCTCTTATGGGTTGGATGCGGTTGTGGTCTGGAACAGCAATTCTCTGGCGAGGGATCTCAGGTGGTAGTAGGAGCCGGTGTCGAGGATGGTGCAGAAGCTTCTCACCAAATTTGCAGATGAGGTCGTGGTGATGGTCAGTGAGAGCCGAGAGGGTTAGTGTGTTGAGCGCTTCTTGATATGTGGAGTAGGAAGGGGAGAGAATAATCTTGCATGCCCTCTTTTGCACTTTTTCTAGGTGTTTATGTTGTGTGGGGAGGAAGACCAGGTAAGGGAGGCATAGGTGAGCGTGTGTGTGTGTGTGTGTGTGTGTGTGTGTGTGTGTGTGTGTGTGTGTGTGTGTGAACCGATTTCAATGAAACTTTTTGACATTGGAGTCGAAACTTAACTTACAATTATATGGAATAAATTTGGACAGGACAGGTCAAGAGTCAGAAGTCAATTTCGACGTTCTACGCAAACTGGGGTCACGTCAGGTCGGTTTATGCATGGTTCTGGCTAAAGCTATCTCTACTCCTCTACTTACGTAACTGTCTTTGTTTTCATCTGACTACAGGAAACCCGCGTCCTTCGGTGGTCTGGTTCGAAGGCAAATACCTCCTTGACAGCTTCATGGAGTCGGAGGTTTCGGAAAACTCAATAAAAACTTTAGATGAATTGGAGGCGACAACACTCGGTCCGGGGCCCCTGACACTACAACCAGCCTACGGAGGAGATCCTTTTAATATGCTCACTCTTGGGCCCCCGACACCAAGACCTGCCTTTGAAGGGAACCTCTATAATACGCTCATGCCGGGGCGCCCGACGCCAAAGCCAGCCTTTGGAGGGGAGCCGTACAATACGCTCACTCTAGGACCTCTCAGTCGCAGCCACTTAAACCTGCAACTTACGTGTGAAGCTTCAAATAATAATATTACCAAGCCCACCACCCTCATGGTCATCGTGGAAATGAATTCAGAGTCTCATAATCTTCATACTTCACCCTTACCGTCCATGCATCTCCAGTTGTTGTCAAGAACATAGTTGTTAATTTAGTGTGAAGGTGACCTAATTTACTGTATTTCGGGTTTATTGAAAATTTAATTTACAATTTATTTCTTAAAGATTTTAAACGCATTAAAATGTTATATGTTTACTTATATTTATTCTATAGTAATACTAATTAAGCAAAAGGTTCTCTTACTACTATCAAACCATTCCCACTCAATCTCTACCTCCCCCGTCGTTACTCCCTCTTCCCCCTTACCTCCCATAGTGCCCCCCTTGAGTGTGGAAATCCTCCCCCCGGAATCAAAATCTCCCCTAATGGCGGGTTTGCAGTACAAGGTGGAGTGTGTGGTGGTGGGGGCTCAACCTCCTCCCAGAGTGTCTTGGTGGGGAGGATATGAAAGACTACTCCAAACTACCAAGGCCTCCGTCGACGCTAAAGAGGTGAGGAAAAGAGAAAATGAAAGAGAGAAAGGATATAGGAAAAGAGAGAGAGCGAGATTGAGAGAGAGAAATGATATAGGAAAAGAGAGAGAGAAAGATTGAAAGAGAGAGAGGGAGAGACAAAAAGACGGAAAACAGATATTGAAACGGTCGAGAGAGAAAGAGTGAGGAAAATGGAGACTGAGTGAGAGAGAGAAAGAGTGAGATAAAGATATTGAGTGAGAGATAAAGATTGAGATCAACATATTGCATGAGAGGGATTGAGTGAAAGAGAAAGAGACATTGAGATAGAGAGACATTCATTCAAGATAAAGATATTAAGTGAGAGAGAGAGATTCTTCCCTGTTTCGTGGGATCCAGGCTAGAATCTCCACTTTCGGTTTTTGAGATTGTATCCATTTGTGTCTCATCTTATCTCTTAATATTTATCTCCACAGTCTCTGTCTCTCTACACTCATATCAGTAGTGATGGCCATCATCCATCACACACCTTCCTCACCCTTCACACAGCCTTTCTCACCCGTCGCACACCTTTCTCACCCGTCATATTTGTCCCGGCAGAATTCGGCGCACGGGAACGTGACTACCAACAGGCTAATCTTTACCCCACGACCTGAGGACAATGGTTCGAGCCTCCGGTGCATAGCTGAGAGCCGAGACCCTCCCGTCACCCTAGAGGACTCCTGGCCCCTCTCCGTTCACTGTATGTATTCGCTTCAAAAAGTATCTCTATGATTATATGTGAGACAATATGACACAACAGACGAAGGATTTTGACAACCCTACCGAGACAACAGGCGCCACGGTGTTCATTTTGAAATTCATCGGGCCCCTAGGTAAAGGTTTTTTTTTGAGAGAGAGAGAAACACCCCGTACACTGTGTATACCTCTCATCGTGGGCTATGTGTTCCCTTCACCATACTCTGTGTGTACCCACCGTGAACTGTGTGTTTTGCGCTAGTTCACTGTGCGTACCCTCAGTCCACCTTCCCTCCTTCCTTTTTCTCCCTCCCTCACCTCCTCACAACACACCGTCCCTCCCTTTCTACCTTACCTTCTCTCGTCAAAACCCTCCCTCCAACCTACCCTCCCTTACCTCCTCACCTCCCTCCCCATCCACCACATCCCACACCTCCTCACATCCTCCATCCTCCTCTTCCCACTTCACACTGGCCTGGTCATCCCTCCCTCACCTCCCTCACCTCCCTCACCTATATTATCACATTATTGCACGCAGGTTCAGCGGATCGTGTAATTCCAGTTGCATATATCTTGTCCCCGAGTCTAGCCCTGTGTCTTAATGAGGCCTGCTTGATTAAATGTGTGTGAGAGGGAGAGAGAGGGAAAGTGGCGGAGTGGCAGAGTGTGAGAGAGAGGGACACTGGGAGAGAGTGGGGGGGGAAGTAGAGAGTGGGAGAGAAGGTGGAGAGAGTATGAGTTCGAATGGTTGAGTGGGGGAGAGAAGGAGAATGGGAGGAGAAAGGGAGAGGATGGGGGAAAGTGGAGGAGGAAAGGGAACATTGGAGAGGGAAAGAGAAAGAGAGTGGGAGAGGAAGGGGTGAGAGAAAGGTAAGTGGAAGAAGGAGAGGGGGGTGGGAGATAGAGAGTGAGTGAGAGAGATAATCGGAGAAATGGGAGTGGGCAGCGGAGAAAGACAGGGAGACAATGAGAGAGAGAGAGAGAGAGAGAGAGAGAGAGAGCCAGACAGACATATTGAATACTGAATATACACAGGTGAATTAATTAACCTTCCCATGGTATATACCTGAGCTTAATTCCTTAACCTGATTGTCGAATTATTCTCGTTAGTCACACCTACAAATTGGCTAACTACACAACAGCCCTCACCGTAACAAACCACCGTAGGGAAATAAATAATTACGTCTAAACAAGGTTGATCAAGAATTAAACATCCATCAGTGTAGTCAGGAGAGGCCGCTATTATTATTGATTATACTCCTCGTTTGTATTATTTCCCCATTGCCACTCAGTTATTGGATTATTTACGATTTTAAGTATTATATTACTAATAAAGAGACTATTAACATATGCTCTTTATACTTTGTTATAAACGATATTGCAATTACAGATTTATTCACTTATATAGATATAGGCCTGAATAATAAGGGAAGGTATGCCTATATAATTGTGTAGATATGTTGTAATAGATAAGAATATTGTATAGTTCAGATCTACAAGTGAATTTATGCTCCAGAATCAGAGAACTTATGGTAATACAGACGTCAATCCCAACATGCCCTAGTACTACCTGGCCCCAGTACTACCTGTCCATAGTACTACCTGGTCCCAGTACTACCTGGTCCCAGTACTACCTGACCCCAGTACTACCTGGTCCCAGTACTACCTGGCCCCAGTGCTACCTGGTCCCAGTACTACCTGGTCCCAGTACTACCTGGTCCCAGTACTACCTGGCCCCAGTGCTACCTGGTCCCAGTACTACCTGGCCCCAGTGCTACCTGGTCCCAGTACTACCTGGCCCCAGTACTACCTGGTCCCAGTACTACCTGACCCCAGTACTACCTGGTCCCAGTACTACCTGGTCCCAGTACTACCTGGTCCCAGTACTACCTGGTCCCAGTACTACCTGGTCCCAGTACTACCTGGCCCCAGTGCTACCTGGTCCCAGTACTACCTGGCCATTAGGGTGTGTCATACGGAGGCGATTTTTTTTTTTTTTGAGTTTGAAAAATCGGCCCATGGTATTAATGATGTAGTTCTATGTGCAGAATCATGTGATATCTTCAGATTTGAAAAGTTTTTATTTTTTTGCTAGGTACCTAATCCTGAAATCTTAAGAAAATTCAGTATTCTACCCCTTACCAACACCACTAAATAGCTTATTTAAAGTAAAGTAAAATGTATCAGGTTAATTTATTAGGATGAAAATGATCCAGAATAGTGAAACGAATGATCTTGACACATTTATTAAATTTAATATTCCTTTAGAAAACAAAATCATCAAATACAAAAACCGGTTTTACTACTACGACCCGGTGTTGCTGCACACCATAGAGAACATGTCTTTCTTGCTTCTGTTTCTACTCATCACCTCCCTGCTGACCACCTGAGCTCGGATGTAGCCTTCCCTCCTCTCCTGGCTGTACACGTGACTGCTGGCCTCACTCACTTGCTGTACACAACGCTCTATACTCTGGGTGTGCGAGGGCCAGGCAGGGACATGCATGGGGTTGTCCAGGAAAGCTCTGACTTGAACATTGGTGAGGCTGCAGGTAAGAGGGGGCTCACTGCCAGCCTGGATGTTATCCAGATCTATGAGATCAGTGAGGGTCTTGGCACCTAGATTGACTTCAGTCTCACATTCTAGGGTTTGTGAGACTGGACCTATCTGCAGGTAAGCAAGTCTATCAGGCATGACCCCAGTTTTGATGGCACTGCAAATCATGTAACCATAGTACTGGTAAGTACTCAGGTCGTCAATGACAGTATGTGCAAGCTCAACGAGTGGAGGGCCAACTGTGATTTTTTCAAAGCTCGGATTTATTTCTAACTCAGTGGCAGAGTCCAGCATCTTGCCAAGAGGACCAGACCATCTGTTGTTTGAAAGAGTCTTGCCATCCAGCTCCTGGATCAGATGTCTGAGTGGCAACTCGTTGGTGTGGAGGTCACAAACAATCCAGACCAGCTTCCTCCCAATCTTCCGCTCTATCCACTGTATGACCCCCCCTTGCCACCCTGTGTTCGTGTTGGTGCTGTCCCCTCCAATGGCCTGCAGGGTCTGGTCTACGTTCCTCTCTCTGAGCCAGTTCACAATGTTATCTGCCACTATCTCAGCTGGTTTCCTGATGTCATCTTTCTCTGGAGTGAAATGCCACAAATACTTCCCTCCTGGTTCACTGCAGCAGGAGTAGTGTTCCTCCTTCACCATGGCAGGGAACAACTTGTCAGAATCTCCAACTTTCATGAACACTTTAGTGTCATCCCTTCTCCCATCAAAGAACAAACAATTGATTCCATTTTCTCTTATCCCCTTATCAAACTCCTCTTCTAGGTTACTGACAAGTTTCTCCTGAGCTCTCCTTACTTTGTTATGATCTATCACCAGGTGAACATCATCAGGTGTTATCAAACCACCGTCAACCCAGGCAGCTGTTGTTATCTCTGCAGTTTCTCTGAGACCAGTGTGGTGTCGCATGCTGGCCAGAGCTATGCTCGGGATATCTTTCCTATTTCGAATCTTATGCCTGGAAGGTTTAGGATCATTATTTTCTCGGTTAGGGACAAAGTCACCATTCTCCTGGTCAGCACTGGGATCAGCCATGGGGAAGTCATTAAACTCTGAATCAGCTTGACTTCAATCATCGGCCTTTTTTACCTCACCCTGGGCCTTCTCAAGTCTCTTTTCCTCGGCAACTCTTCTCCTCTTCTGTCTCTGTGGCAGCCTCCTGTCTCTTGGCCTCCGGAATATCTTGGCTAGAAATCATGAGAGCCTGGCACGCCAGCTCTTCAGCGGACAAATGCTGCCTGATCACAGGAATCTGTGCTCCACGCTTGCAAAATACAGGAGATGGGCCCGGATTTACAGTCACGATCGCATCCAAACTGTATAGAGAACAATTACATTCTGTGCATTAGTCACAACTGGTCCAGTTGCTTTGGCAAAAGGTCCTAACTGCAAGTTTTTCCTCCCAAGAGAGAGAGATATCTCTTGCCTTTTCCCAACTGGCTAGCAGTCTCTCACTAATCTTCTGACTTGTTATGACTGGAGGCTTGAACTGAGCGTTAGCCAGAGTGTACTGTGCCAAGACAGCTTTGGTCATATCACTGGCAACGTCTTTGTTTGTGTAAGTTCTTTGGTTCTTTTCACTGATTTGCCTGATTAAAACACCATATCTCAAAGCATCTCTCAATGTAGGCAACTCCGACTTCAGGAGCTCTCTCCCAGACCCAAGATAGTGACTGAGATGGCTGGATTTTGGTTCCGTCCTGACACAAGCAGCCATCGCAACATATCAACTTATAAATGCATCAGAATTCGAAACAGAAAATATTGTTATTGGTTGTTAAAGAACGAAGTCAGAAAGCAATGTTCACTATTTAATTGTAATGCACTAATGCAGCTGTACGTTAGATTTTCGATAAATTTCACGCTAAAATTTACCTAGCAAAAGGTTGCAAAATATTGAAACTGAAATTATTTTCTGTTAATATACACTAACATCTACCAAAAAAGTGATGGGCCATTAGTTTTAGCTGATCTTCCCTCCTATGACACACCCTACTGGCCATAGTACTACCTGGTCCCAGTACTACATGGCCCCAGAACTGCCTGGCCCCAATACTACCTGGTCCCAGTACTACCTGGTCCCAGTGCTACCTGGTCCCAGTACTAACTGGTCCCAGTACTCCCTGGTCTGCTACCTGGTCCCAGTACTAACTGGTCCCAGTACTACATGGTCCCAGTACTACCTAGTCCCAGTGCTACCTGGTCCCAGTACTAACTGGTCCCAGTGCTACCTGGTCCCAGTTCTAACTGGTCCCAGTACTACAAGGTCCCAGTACTACCTGGTCTCAGTACTACCTGGTCCCAGTGCTACCTTTCAAACACTCACCTTCCACCTCTCACCTATTCCTTTCTCCCCTGTCCCTTTCTGGTCCCTTTCCCTCTTTCCTTTCCCGTACCCCCCTCTCACACACACTCTCACACTCTCCCTGCTCTCACACACACTCTCACACTCTCCCCGCTCTCACACACACTCTCACACTCCCCCCGCTCTCACACAGACGTGCCGACAGCGAGGTGCAGCTACGGAGCGTCACTGGACTCCACCAACATCAAGGAGGGAGACGACGTGTACTTTGAGTGTTATATTGAAGCAAACCCACCTGTGACGCGGGTCTCTTGGCGGCACAACGTGAGTATCTCTCTCTCTCTCTGGTACGATTCTGTCCCTAAACTTCCTCTCTTAAGTGACTCTAAGTGAACGTAACTAATTCAGGTATACTCTCAGTATTATTCAGATGCTATTTGTGAGCGTCATTTTTACGTTTCACTCTAAGTCAATACATATATATATATATACAGTTGTGTACAAAAAGAATTCGGCATGGAGATTGATAAAGGTGGTGGATGGGAGGGTAAGGGTAGGTAGAGACTTGGCAAGGTCGCATAGAAGTGGCGATTAAGTCTGCGATTTTATTTTCCTTCGTAGTCTTTTTGTCCACACCTGTGCATTCTTACACCTCCACTTACGAGAAATATCCACCTTACGAACCTTTGTGAATCTGGATGTATACACGTTGCTATAGTCTTGCATGCTGTATATCGCCTTCAGCACGATATAACACAAAAGGAAAATATCTGTTGAGGTGGATATTTTGTAAAAATCGTCATTTAAAGTTACTCTGGTTTTGTATATAGACAGTGTAGGTATACAATGGTAAACAGTGAGTGGCTTCAACCAAGGATACCGCAAGGAAACTGCTAGGGGTCATTCATCGCCATGTTGCAACCCCTTTATCTCTCTGTAGTATACTGTGAGGTGTTTTAAGGTGCTCTCACACATCTGTGATAAAAGATAGCTAAAATATTATGAAGCTTTGAAAATCCAAACTCCCCACTGCCTTCAGTGTGACAGAAAACGTGACTCCTAACAGGGCACACTGTCACTTGTAAAACGTGCCACGTCCTCACTCTGCCTAGGGCTGGGAGTGGACAACGTCTGTTCCCAGTTATGAGAGTCTTTTCTCCTGACTTGACAAGGGGTTACAGATATGGAGGCTGATCGTGCTGACAAGTTATGATGTTATAGGAGATGAATAGCATGTTACTCTACAGTGTAATGATCAAGATGTCAAAGAAAGGCGAGTCAAGTTAGTATATACCAAGATATCGTTGTAGACTTTCAAATCGTATGAAGTTTGCTACATTAATGCAAAAGACTAATCTAAGGACATTCTGTAACCTGATTGCGTTTGTGAAGTTTGTAATAATGTTTTAAGATAAATAACGAGATACGTAGTTCATACCAACATATATGATGAATTACTCTATTATAATCACGTTCTTATAATGCAAATGTATGAATTGTAAATTGTAAAATTCTGAGCCAAGTAAGTTTATTGGTCTTTCTGTCGTGGTAAATATTTCCTCGAGAGATTTGTATACAGTACAGTACATGGAAGTCGACTTGCTTTACTTTTACTTTTATCCTCTTCGCCACTGATCGGCTCGTTAGCCACTTAGGCGGTCGGTCACGTCTCTGTTCGACTTGATATTTGAACTGTTTATAATTTAACTAAACTTGCCGTATGAGCCTTTAAGAATCCACTACCGAGTGAAACTTTCTAAAGCCGCAACTTCCTGATTTAGATATTGTGTTTATATACCTCAGACTGAACAAGAAAACTTTTCATTGCTCATCAGGCAACACGAACCAACCAAACTAAACAAATGAGAACTATTGCATGTGGATAGCTAGGACAGGTTAAGTTTCGATTAGTTCATTAAAAAAAACACAATGACAAATAAAGCTTTAACAGTTCTTGTTATTGGTGACTAACTAACACTGGTCTACTTGTGTTGGTCTGCACTGAGGTAAAAAGCGCATGGTCTAGTCAGACAGGTTGTTGCGTCGTGTTACAAAAATACTCGGACAAAAATACAGGGAGATAATATATGTCTTGTCTCGCCTTGTCTGGGATACGTGACTTTACGCCACTTGGTTGACGCTGTGGGTTGTCACGCAGGAGCTCTCTGAGTGGCCGGTAAGTCAAGCTCTCTGACTGGCCTGTAAGTCTAGCTCTTTGAGTGATCATTAAGTCATGCTCAGTCTAAGTGGCCAGTAAGTCAACCTTTCTGTATGTCTCACCTCAAAATACAGCCGTAGGAAGATATACAGTATACTGTACCTGTACTGTATATACGAATATTGTATATAGCAAGAGAAAGGCTGTATCTCTTACCTGTAACCTCTAAATACAACCAAAGAAAGATAATGATCATTTTCTTCTTGGAGTAAGTGACTTATATACTCTATGCTGGTATACATGGGGCGACTCTTGTTATGGACGGTGTTACTGTAACTTGTGTGTTCTTCATCTAATGTTCGACTGTATTCTCCCGTGTTTTTGTGTTCTTCTTACCGTGTTTTAGTGCTTTTTTCTATCTCGTGTTCATGTATGTTCTCCTGTGTTTTGTTTTGTTCATGTATGTTCTCTTGTGTTTTGTTGTGTTCTAATGTGTTCCCCACCCTCTGAGTCTGTCCTCCCGTGTTCTGTTTTGTTCTTCCATGTTCTGTTCTAACGTGTTCTACCTTGTTCCAATGTGTTCTCCTGTGTTCATCCTTATTCTACCGTGTTCTCCCCAGATCGCTCCTGTTCTACTGTGTTCTCCCAAAATCTCCCCTGTTCTACCGTGTTCTCTATTGTTCTCACCTGCAGGACGTGGCGCTGGTGCACAACGTGTCAGCTGGGGTGATCGTCAGTAACCAGAGCTTGGTGCTACAGCAGGTGGTGAGAGCACAGGCGGGTCGCTACTCCTGCCTCGCTCACAACCCCGTCGGTGATGGCGCCTCTAACTCTTTGAGACTCGACGTGAAGTGTGAGTACCTGAGAGAGAGAGAGATGAAATGTGTGTTAGGACTGAATATCTAAGGTAGAGATAGACAGCCAGACAGACAGACAAAAACAGAGCCAGATAGTGTTCGGTGTGAATATCTGAGGTAGAGACTTAATTTAATCTCTGCCGACCGACTATCTATGAATTAAACGTCAGGTTATGTTACTGAGAGAGACAATGTTGATTGCATGATTGAGTGTGTGTGGTCCATGTGTAGGATGTGGACTTGGATCTGTTGAGTGCGTGGCTGAGTGTCTGCATGTTGGTTCTCGGCGTTTAGATGACCTCTGTACGTCTAACAACTTTACACATCTCCCTATCCGTAGAGAATCTCTGTAAACAAAATACCTCACGTATTTTTTTTTTATCTTTACTCGGTCAGATGATTCCTGTAAACAAATCACTTCTACATAAAATGAACAATTTACACAATTTAGCAGTTTTTCTGCAACAAAGAAAAGCATTGTAAACGCAACGTGTCATACGTCATGTTCCATTGTTGTTGTCACTTTCAGGATGAGTGAACGGTTTATGTAACATTGCACCCTGTTTCACCCCCAAATGGACGCAGGTGACAGCCCTTGCAATAAACACATAATTAATACACAGTATTGCCCTGTATTTTGCTTAACTGGGAACCCTGTGTATGAAGTGAGCTTATGTTTCATAGAAACCTTATAAACACATCCTTCTTCTGTGTCGCCTCCAGACGCCCCTGTGTGCTCGCCAGGGCAGGTCACCACCTACGCCGTGGGTCGCTACGAGGACGCCGAGGTGACCTGCTCCGTGGAGGCCAACCCCTTGCAGGAGTCCTTCCAGTGGACGTTCAACAACACGGCGGACACCATTGACGTGCCACAGGGGCGGTTCAGTTCGTCCAGCAGCCACAGTGTCATCACCTACACGCCCATGACCGCCCTGGACTACGGCACACTGCTCTGCTGGGCAGCTAATGAGATAGGATCACAGCGGGAACCTTGTGTGTTCCATATTGTACCCGCAGGTGAGGCGTAATTATAAAACTACAGGTAACTACACTTAAACAGTGAGTACTGTATCCTTCTTTGTAAGGGGGACAAGCTTGGTGTTTCCTTTTTCCTTCTATATCATCAAATAACTGTCATATTATTTCTTTGACAAATAAGATGGTTATTTTACACGCTCAGATAGGACTGGACCCTTAGGTCTTATTTTTATAAGTAGCAAAATAGATCTTCAATTCTTGGTTACAACATTAAACAATCATTATATTATTTCGTTGTCAATACAAATGGTTATTTGACACACTTGACAATATCCCAAATTAACATATCTATAACATCATGTTATTTCGGAACGAACAACATGGCACTTTTACTAGAACTCAGTTGGTAGTACATATGAATGGTGTACTCACAACCCACATAACAAACGTTATAACTGGTAATATCAATATTTATGGGTTCACTACTCAACATGGGATAACTATATTTCTGCTAGTTATCCCCAATCAGGTACAACAATAATAGGTAGGACTCAGTTGGTAGTACATATGAATGATGTACTCACAACACACATAACAAATGTTATTATTGGCAATATCAATATTTATGGGTTTACTATTCAACATGGTATAACTAGATTTCTGCTAGTTATCCCCAATCAGGTACAACAATAATACTTTGGCCCATGTAACTGTAAGGGGATGCACCAGGGTGTCACGCTGGTATCACCACAACAAACAAAGAGCACTGTTAGGTCGGTTGCAGTCCGACGCACGGCAAGGGAGTTCATCCCACGGGCTCGTGCAATTTAATCGTGCATAATTAATGACATCCTGCAAGACAGCCAGCTAGTATGTAGCTACCGGTCCCCCGGTGACTGCCGGGTATTCAGCTAACACCCACTCTGTGCCTGAGATAGTGGTGGAGCAGCGTCAGAGATGTCACAAAAATAACTCAATCACAAACAATCTTTTGTCTGGCAACAACAGACGATATTTAAGTTACATTAAGTCTTTCACGGGGCACATGATAATTTCACTGTTACAACAAGAAAACTGATATTCACAAAATTCAACTGAGTTAAACTAACTTAATATGGCAGGAGTGAGAACTATACACATACCTGAGATCGCGATAGAGCAGCTCAGAGGTGTGACACTGCTCCTTGTACACGAGCTTATATACTGCTAACTAGCAACTCAGGCCACTGCACTAGACATGCCAGAAATTACATTTAAATCAGCTGTGGTACATTTAACTATGAAAATCAGTGTCAAGGGTCAGGTGAATTTCTTATGTCTAATTTTATAATCTAATCAGAGATTGAGCTTGCCAGGAAAAAGTGAAATGGGCATCAAATACACACGCTGTTAACGTCATTCTCACAACATCAGTGGGATTTCAGACAAGGGCCCTCTATGGTTATACGTTGAGATCTTGTAGAGTTAGGCGTGCGGGTCGGGTCGGGTCGGGTCGTGTCGCATATCTGTAACAAAGCATGTTCGGCATTCGGGCCTTCATTGTTGAGCTGCAGAAATTGGACAGTAATTACATAAGAACATCAAGATCGTCTTAGTGATGTGAAAGAGTAAATCGATGTAGGATTTTTAATGCTGGACGCGATTGTAGTTTTGAAAACTCAATCTCCACCGAGTTGGAGGTACAGCCCAAGTCAAGAGGCCTACAACCACAAAATCATTGCCATATGACAAAGCTTTTATTTTATTTTTTTACGGAGTTGTGGTCACGGCTGTGATAAAGGCCAAACAGGGAGTGTAGTACTGTGCCTTTAGTTAAATCAGTTCATAGTGTCATCAATGACCGAAGAAGAGGTTGCAAATAACTTAAGGTGAATACAAATTGGCAAGCTGGTAAGGCGCCACTGCCAGCAGAAACCAAGTCGTGTTATAGGTGCCACAGAGACTTTAAATTTTATTTTGTTTGTGTGCTTTCTCATGGACTGAAACTGTGCCTACAATACACCATTCACAGGGAGATACAGTGTACACAGTGATAGCACATAGAGATATAGTCGTTGATGAGGACGGGAAAAAAAGTATGAGGAAATAATAGTTAAAATAAAAAATAAATATAATAAAAGAAATCAACAAGCTTGGCTATCTAAAGGTATTCTATTACCGCCCCAAAGAAAGTATTCTTTTATTATTCTGTGATTCTAAAGGACTGAGTGGGTGTATAAAATCCGTTATTCACTTAATAAGTAGGTGTACCTAGAATGGCACATAAATACCGACAAATCAACAGGTAGACGAAAAAAGAAAACGAAGGCTTAATAAAAGGCAACAGGGAAGTTAACACCAGCAGAGGGCAGCTAAAGTGGGTTTTTCGCCCCCCCTCACAAAAACAACAACCATGAACAGTATGATATGTGAATGCTGCGGGGGATGACAGAGTATGGATGATACAGGCCTGACCAATGCAACGTTTGGGACGATGCAAGCTGCCGTAAACATGAAGGCTGTTGCTGGTAATGCCCTGACTGCTGGAGTCCCTTTGAGGTGAAGAGAGCCGTTACCAAGCCATGGGGGAACGAGTTCCCTAGGGACGAATATAGATGAAGCTGGATCTTGTTGAACATGAAGCTAGAACAAGTTGGGAAAGAGATCCTTGCTAAGACTGAGGAAGTAGCTGATAGAATGAGTGGTTGCTGAGAGGAGTTATGCTGAGGCCTTAAGGGCAACGGGAAGTGGCGGAGAGTAATGCAGGATCAGAACAGGTTCTCCCCAGCAGCTCAGGACTCTGAAGAAGTGTGTCGAAGAAATGACAATCAGCGGACATACTGTTAGGGAGAGGAGGAACAACAGGAAACGTTTCCAGCGCAGGAACAATGTAATAGTTTTTTAGCAGAAGTCTATGAGAGTAGCGGAGGAACTGAGGTAGGACCTTACACGATAAGATGCAGTTTAAGAATATTTGTACAGAGGTTCTGGAAAGATGCCATCAACCCCTCAGGATGTGAGGAGGCTGGAACAAAGCAGGGGGATAAGCCTCGCCTCCTCAGGATCACACTAGTGAGTGAGGAGGAGAAATGGGGCTTAATCGGCAGGCAAAAACTGGCAAGGAGCGAGGCATTTCAGATTGTATTCATTCACCAGATCGCACAGTAATACGGAAGACAGCACAAGAAGCTCCTTCAGGACTTGAAGCAGAGAGAAGGGAAAGAGTCGAGGAGGAACAAAGACGTTTGTGCATAGGTTACATTCATGGGAGGTGGTAGAAGCAATTATTGCCGACACAGGGCCAGGGGGCAGCAGCGCACCCTCCACCCTCTACCCCACCCGTGGTGGCACAGCTCCTCCTACCAGCCGGGAGGAGGCAGAGCGCCAAATGTAAACAATAAAAATTCTAACCACACCCTGCAAAAATACAGTGTGCTTAGCAAATGCTGCAGCTTCTGAGAATAAGAGTTTCTACTAAGAGCAGAGACGTTACCGACAACAAATTCTGGCTTGAATGTCATACACTAATATGATACGTTCCTTGATAAGAGAGGAGTTTGAAACACTACTGAAGGTACACCAACCAGATATTGTAGGAGTTGTAGAATTGTTGTACATGAACAGGAGAAACTGACCCAGAGGAATGCAAACTCAGTATTGCTGGATATGACTCATTTACGAACCCCAACTCTCCAAGAAACTTGCAAGAGGGTGTGGTTGCTATGCTAAGCAAGACCTTATACAGCCAACTGAGCGAGGATACAGAAGAATATGTTTTTGAAGAGTCAGAGTGGTGTAAAGTGCAATTAAAGAGGAGAACTTCCTTATTGTTGGGTGTATCTACAGATCCCCAAACTGTGGCCCACTAGATCAAAAGACTTAAAATTTGTAATAGACAAGTAAGCCATGCTCAACCTAGCCACCTCCTTATCATGCGGGACTTTAACTATGGTGACATCGACTGGAGAAACAGAGTTCACCCTTAAAATGGCTTGAATAACCCTGCTACTCTTTTCTAGAAACTCTGAGAATAATTTTCTGTTCCAACAAACAAGGGCCCGACACATTACAGAGAGGGCAAACACCCAAGCCACTAGACCTCTGTCATAACAAACGAAAGGAGGGTATGGTGGCCAAACTAGAACACCTTACTGATTGGCACCAGTCACCATATGGTGTTGTCATTCAGGAATTTAACTGTTACCTAGTTCAAGATAAGGCCAGGCCAAGATTGCACATATTACAAAGGGAAATACAACGGATGAGGAAGAGATGCAGGGGTATCCACTGGCCTGACTCATTAAGGCTCCAAGAACATGAATACTACGCTGAATATCATAACTGGTGAAGTTACCCATTTGATCGATAAATATACCCAAGACCAAACCCGGTGCCTCTAGAAATACGAGGATCTACACGCGAACCGTACGGCGGTCAACAAAGTTAAGAAAGAAAACCTTTGAAATTCAAGACGTGGGTTGGGTCAAACGATAGGCAGGACAGGAGAATGGCAGCCAAAGAGCCAGAAACCAAGCAAAAGGTGATGAAGTGTAGAAGGGCTGAAAATGAGTTCAATGATTGCAAGCGAGGTCAAATTCAAACCCAAAGGCGTTTTACCGCTATGCAAAGTCGAAATTAAAAACGCGAGTAGGGTATCAGACCTGAGGCTTGAAGATGGTAGTTACTCAGATTCTGACCAGGATAAAGCTGGGGCATTGAACAGCTTCTTTTCGCTGGTGTTCACAAGAGAGGATGCAATTAACCTTCCTGCGTTTGAGGACAGACGGTTCGACACAGCACTGACCCACATTGTGTTCACAGAAGAATTATTAGAAATAAACTGTCAAAGCTAAAGGTCCATAAGAGTCCTGGCCTGACATGGCCTCCTAGAGTGACGACTGGCAGGAGAGTTGTCTGTCCTCTGCTTCTTACTTCTCCTGATCTGCTTCTCGTTTTAGTTGTAGTTCCCGGGTCTGGGCACCATTTGTCACGGAAAACAAGCACACAGGGGGTGCAGACTTCAAACACGTGATACAAAATATGTGAGCATTTACAATATTTACAATTTTGATATTTTCCTTGTGGTTTCCTCCACACAATCCAGGATCTCTGGTCTTCACTCCTGACAAAGCCTAATCTGGGGTCTCTAGTAGGGGTTTTTTCTCTCCGTGGGTCAGGCAACCCTCCAGTCCTTCACCTTGACTTGTCTGCTTTCGACTCCCTCTTGCCACGTCGTCAGTCCACCAGGTTGACTCTCCCATTTTTTGTCAGCCATAACATTAATAGCTAACACACATATTAAGGTCCATATACTATCTTTTACATAAATGTTTACATAACATAAATTCATACACTATTTAAGTTGGTTTAACATCCTTAAATTAAATAATATAGAAACTTAGTTTAACTATTGAAATGTTCAAACCACCCACTACTAATCACCAGCCTGCACCAAAACAGCTGTTGTTTGTTTGTTTTATAAATGACATGCCTGACGTTGTACACTCCTCCATACAAATGTTTGCCGATGACGCCAAGTTATTTCGGGAAATCCAGAACCAAGCGGACTATGAAGAGCTGCAAAAGGGCTTCTGTTGGCTCCAAGAATGGTCGAAGAAATGGATGCTGAGATTCAATGTCACGAAGTGTAAGATAATGCACCTGGGGCGTACCAACGGTAAGGAGGTGTATCATATGTCCCAACGGATGAAAAAACTGCACTATTTGAGACTGACTGTGAGAAGGACCTAGGTGTGTATGTTGACAAT